TTCTCCTTACTCTCCCAATGGTGTCAAATCCTTCCTAGCAATAGTTCTTGTAATAACCCTTAACCAGCTGTGCTCTCACCGACAGCCTCAGAACAGATCCTTATCACAACCCCTGGATAAAATGATAAAATCCCCGGAGTCTCCAGGCTCTCAGTCTACTGTTGGGAGGGACTGTGACACAGCCCACAAGTCACACAAAATCTAGTCTTGCCTGTCTCCCATCCTCATTTCACGCCATGCCCCTTCAGGCATTGCACTCCATCCACAATGAAGAGCTGTGTCTGCCCACTTTGATGCCTTTGAACACATCGGCTTCTTTCACCTGGAGTTACCCACCCTCCTCATCAAGGAGTCCCCCATTCTTTGCCTGCTTGACTCCTACTCAGATTTCATGTTCTTTGCTCAAATGTCCCTTCATGGCAATTGACTCCTTAGATTAAGTCACCTCTTTAGTGCTCTCACAACCCATATTTTTCTTCCTTCCTTTAATCCTAAGTAACTAATTATTGTGTAATTGCTTAATACCTGTCTTTTCTACTAGATTCTAAGTTCCTTAAGGGTAGAAGCAATTTACCTTGTTCATTGCTCTGTTCCTAGAATGTAGCATATTCCTGATATACCATAGATACTTAACAAATATTTTTTGAATGAATGAATGAATATGTGGACAAACAAATGCAGATAGGCTCATGATAAGGAACAGGACCAATTTTCTCAAGTGGAATGAGTTGTCTCAGAAGGCAAGGTTTGAAATTCAGTTATGGAGACGAGATAGGTTTGACAATAGTACAGAACAGAATGGAAGTAAAGATGAAATAAAGGAACTAGTTAATGGCCTGGAGGTTCGGTGAGGTACGATTGACAAGTGCTGCAGTGAGATACTTGAGCACTAGATCTACTAGAATAGGTGACTGTGATTAAAGGGGGGGATGCTGGAGTATGTGATTTTGAAGTTGGCACAGTTTGGGGTGATGTCAAAGTTGAGGCTGTGTCTAGGGGAGAAGGTGAATGGAGGAGAAGCATGTTATTGGAGAACTGGGCACCCCGGCTGTGGGGTTACTGGTTGTTGTGTGAGACTGCACATTCCTTCTACCCATGATAAACTTATGTTGGAAACTGCTGTGAACACAGCTTTGGTTGGCAGCAATGAACAAGTAAGCCTTGCAGTCATCTGTGATGGGGGATAGGCACAAGGGAAGGCTTCTTCTGTCAATGGTACTCAATGACCCAAATAGTTCTCCAGCAATGGTTTCAGTCTCTCTGGGGTTTTGCGATGGTTTATAATGCTCACCTACTCATTCTAGTTCTGCCCTTTGGGTACCACAGAATAGCCAAATAACCACTCTTCTCCCAACAACCTTTCAAGTGGCTGCTAACATGTCCCATGACCTTGCCTACCCCAAATCTTCTCTTTAGATTGAATGTGCACTATTTTTAAAATGATTATTATTGAGGTAAAGTTTATATAACATAAAAGCAACCACTTTAAAGTGTACAATTCAGAGTGATATTTAGTACATTCCTAGTGTTGTGCAATCACCATCTCTATCTAGTTAAAAATATTCTCATCAAAAGAAAACCCTATACCCATTAAACAGTCAGTCCCTATTCCTCTCTCCCCATAGCCCCTGGCAAACATCAGTTTGTTTTCTGTCTCTGTGGATTTGCCTATTCTAGATATTTCATATAAATGGGATCACACAATATCTGGCCTTTTGTGTCTGGCGTCTTTCACTAAGCCTAATGCACTCAAGGTACATCCACACTATATCATGTATCAGTACTTCATTCCTTTTCATGGCTGAATCATATTCCATGGTATAGATGAATGTGCACTAAATTTAAACCAAATTTCTCACTGTACATTCAAGAAAAGTGTTTTTAACAAACATAAAATCCATCCGTATGACTCAAAAACATCCATATGAAAAATGCTTTGATAAAAGCCAAAAAAACAGAGCATTGATGGACTCAGTGAGGGGAACTTAGTGAGGGGCTAAGTTGATGTGGTCTGAGTCCTTTAGAAATCTAACTTGATATAAGGCCAGAATTTAAAATGTATAGAAAGGTGAATAAATTGAGTGTCTATCTGACAATGTCACTAAATAACTACCCCCACCCTCCCAAAACCCAACTTTGGTGGACCCAAGGTCTTTCCTTCTCTTGGACAAGGGCCTGAAATGTTGGTGTACCCTGTAGACATGGTGCAAGTCTAGAGCTTGAATGTAGTTTTGGCTGGATGCCTGATGACCTAAACCAGCTTTCTAAAGAAAACCCTGGATCTTGGTTTTCAAAGAATAAGAATGTCCAACAAACCAGTAGAACAACAAAGATATCCAACAAAATAATGAGACTTAAAAAAAAAAAGGAGATAAAGTCTTTCTTTAAAAAAGAAAGGGACATTTGCAGTTTATGACCAAAAAGGGGTTTATTTATCCACTTATTCAACTGGCATTTATCGAATGCTACACCTTCTGCTTCTGAAAATATAGAGGATTAATATTCTGAAAACTCTTCTGCTATAATATTTTAAATTTCTAGGTGAAATTTAAATGAATAAATTTAAATGAATAACTGAGCTTACAAAAAAGAATGGAAATCTCAGAGGACAAAAATGATTAGGAAGCAGGTGCCTGACCATGTAAGATTTTGTGAGCCAATATAAGGACTTTAGATTTTACTTTGGGTGGGATGAGAAGCCACTGGAGGGTCTGACATGTGTTCTTTCTTGCTGGTTATTTTCTTCCCCTCTGCCACCCTCCCTCACTACCCATCTATTCTCAGGTCTCCCTGCCCTGTGTCCCAGAGGCTGAGCCCTGCAGACTGCATCACTGGTGGGCTGGTGTCTGATTGGTTTGACTAATAAGAGGCTCATACAGGAGATCAAAGAGCAAGAAGAGAGAGTGGTCAGGATATGTCTTACCCAACCTTTCCCTGCACAGGTGTTCTTTCTAGAAGCAGCTGTATTTCTTCTCCACTATAGCTCCTGATGGGTGGCTTCTCCTTTAAAGTTGCAATTCTCACTGGATTCTGTTAACACCATCTCCTCCTTTGAATCTTCAGTCCCAGAGGTACAGCTGCATCCTGCTACTGCCAGACTCTGGAGGCCTTATCCTCTCTTGTTTGTTTTCTTAGCCTTGCCCAATCTATGTAAGTGGTCCCTCTAGTAAAGACTCTTCAGTGGGTGAAGAATTCACTCATCTGGGTTGAATTCTGTTTCTGGCTGGGACCCTGACCGATACACATTTTAACTGAATCATTTAAATTGTTTTGTTGAAAATAGGCCATAAAAAGAAGAGGGTAGAAACGTGGAGTCTAGATGGGGGGACTTCTGCAATAATAGAGGTGAGAGATGATGGTGGTTTGGATGCATAATAGAATGGAAGTGATTGGATATTTTGATAGCAAGGCCAACAAAATTTGCTGACCTATTAGATATAATTTGTCAGAAGAAGAGGGGAATCTCAATTAACTCCAAAAGCTTTGGCTTAAGGAACTTAAAGAATGGAGTTATAATTTACTGAGATGTCAAGAGGCTTGGGAAGAGGAATTCAGAAGTTCGGTTTGACACGTGTAAAATTTGAGAAGCTTTTAAAACAACTAAATGGAGATATCAGGTAGGCATTTGGCTGGGAACAGCCCTTGCTGGAAATACAAATTTGGGAGTCATCAAACATTTAGATGCTCTTCAAGGTGAAGAGGCTGGCTTGCATCACCAAGTCAGTGAGGGTGGAAAAGAAAAAAAACAGTGGTGAGCCCTGGAGCACTCTGAAGGTTTGCAGAGTGGAGAGATGAGGGCGGACCAACAAATGAAACAGAGAAGGAACAGTCCTTGAAGTAGGAGGAGAGCCAGGGGCTGATTGGTCGAATAACATGAGGACGGAGGACCTTGGTGGGAGCAGTCTCAGGGAATTGGTGTGATTGAAAGCCTGATTAGACAAGGGTCAAGTGAGAATTGAAGGAGAAGACTCAGAAATACAAGTCTAGATATTCCTTCGGGGTATGATAGTAAGAACATCGGCACTTTGCCGGGCTCCTTTGGCTCCAGGTTTGTCCGCACATCAACTTGTCATTCCAAACTCCTGGCGGAAGATGTGCTGCCTAATCATCAAGAGCACGGGCTTCAGAACTGACTGGCCTGGGTTCAAAACCCCAACTGTGTTTCTTACTAGCTTTGTGACTAAATACAACTTTCTTAAGCTTTCTGAGACTCTTCTAAAATGAGAATGATGATAGTGCCTGCTGGGGAATAGTAGTACTTAACCTTCATGAAGATTCAATGAGGTGATCCGTGTGCACTGTTGGTCGAGCTCTCCAGCTATTACTGTTACTACTCATCTTCTAAAAACTACAAATGTGGTTTTAGAAGATTACTCATCTTCTAAAACTACATCACTCTTCCTTTCCACTGCCCTCCATCATGTAGATCCTAATTTCATAGGCAGTCCATTTCCTTCACATTTTACACTCTAGAAATGCAAAAGTACTCTAGGCCCGCAAACTCCCCAAGGCAAAAACCTCCCCTGGGCTTTGCTCTCTTTAGGGCTCAATTCTAGGAGATGCCATTACCAGGGACCTCCACTAAGGGGCGAGCAAGGACAGAGGGAGCAGGAACTGTCTACTGAAGCTTGACAGGCATCAGGAATTGGTGTTCCGATCCTGTGGTGTTTGCAGTCATCTGGGGCCCACTACCAAGGATAGCCAAGAGGTAGCACAGGGTTTATCCAAAAAGAAAGGAGGGAAAGAGAGAGAGAGATGGGGGTGGAGGGGAAAGAGGGAGGCAGAGAGAGGGAGAAGGAGGAGAAGACAGGAGGGAAGGAAGGAAGGAAGGAGGGAAGGAGGAGAGAATCTAGCAACAATGCCCCTGGTCAGCAGCTCTTCTTTTCTCAGGGTGGTGACAGAAGGCAGATTAGGAAAGGGGTGGGGAAAGAGTGAGAAGGTGTGGGGAAAGGTGGGGGGAGGGGAGGAGGATGTGAAACTCAGTCTGAGAAATGAAAAAAAAGCAAGCCTTTCTGGTGGCACTCCACGCAGCCTCCTGAAGCACAGTGCACCCAGCTGTGGGCAAGGACCCAGACACCCTGGTGCTGAGTTGAGAGGCTGAAGTCCAGAAGAGCTAAAGAAGGACAAATAAAGCCATGGTGAGCTTTTCAGCCTCAAAGATTTCCAGACGCTCAGATAGAACCTCTTGAGATTGCAAAGACAGGTGACAAAGGACAAGAAACAACACACTTCATTTTTGGTTTTAACAAAGCCAAGAATTAAAAATGCTGAGTTTAAAAGGTGCTTCTAGAATCTTTCTTCTCAGATGTGATAATTTCTCTTCATTGATTTGTCTCTGGTGAGGTTCTTGAGGAAGTACTATCTTGTTGAAATGAGCACTTTTGCAGGTAAACATTGGGGCTACCTGAGAGGTGATACACTTCAGAAAATATGGTTTTAAGGTGTTCAGAGAACTTGTGGTCTGGATTCTGCAAAATGTATTTTTTAATTGAAAAAGAAATGAACTGCTTTTCTTTATTGGTGTCTGGCTATCTAATACTTTTAAGTGTTTGAAGCATCGAGCATTGTAATCCAGTGTAAGATTTTAACATTTAAATCTCAGACCTCAATAGTTCATTAAGCATCAAAGAACACCTTAAAAATATACGTATTAAATATCAAATAGTTTCATCTAACAGCTCAGCGGAAAGGAAGTACAAAAAATTATTGAAATGTAGAAAAAAATCAGAGTAGTAATAATCAGCAATCTAAGGCTAAAACGTGAAAAAGAAAAGAAACAACTCTATCAGTTTTGAAGCAAATTTAATACTACTTTTTTTCATGTACATCTAAGAAACCTCTTCTTTCAGACAGGGTTAGTGAGCATATGTATTTTATTTTGAACTTTAAGAAAGTTGCAGCCACCTCCTCAAGGTGCTATAAAAATTGTGATTTAAAATATAAATCTAACTATAATTTTCTATTTTCTTTGCAGATATTTCCATGGAAATGTCAGAGCTCTCAGAGGGGCTCATGGAATATCTTCAAGTTGTGGGTCTGGACAGTGCTATGTTGTGGTACGTTATGGTATTTGTATATTGCTAAGCCCTTTTTAACTTGTGCTTATTTTTCTTAAATATCCACTGGGTGCATGTAGTCACAGGGAAGAATATTAGATAGTTGTTAGTTCTATCCTTTCTATGAATGTCCTTTGCTTCTGTTACTTTTAGTACTTCCCCCAGAAACCTCCTAAGCCTGCCACACCCTTTGTGGCATGGTCCAGATCCTGATAATCCCACAAAAGTCTTAATTATGAAGAAATAAAGTCCATTAAGGAAAATCTGATGAGACCTTTACAATCCATACCAAATATTTAGCAGGGTACTTTTATTTTTTTTAAAAGATTTTATTTTCAAGTAATCTCTATACCCAACATGGGACTTGAACTCACAAGCCCAAGATCAAGAGTCACATGCTCTTCCAACTCAGCCAGCCAGGTGCTCGGTACTTTCTATTTTTTTTTTTTCAATAATTTAGTGCATGTCAATGTCATTTTGACAATTACAGTGTGCCCTTTATATATATATATATTTTGTTCTTCTCCCATTAGTGTGATAAGTTTTATGTCTGATTCTTGAAGACTCTCCAGAAGTTGTTTTGAAACCTTCTTTACCCTTCCTAAGTAAGCTAATGCTTCTTGGCCCCTAGCTTAGATTTTGAGCTCTGGCCAAGCAAATGTGCTTTCCTCTGCCCCTGACACATTCCTTATGCCATGTCTGCCTCATGTCACCTGCAAAGTTAGTGCTCTTTTCATTCAGCAATTGTTTTCCAAGTTCCTATAATGTGCCAGGCACTGTCCTAGGCACTGAGGATACAGCACTGAACCAAACAGTTTCTTCTCTCTTAGGACTTATATTCTGGTAGAATGTTCCTTCAAAACTCTGTTCCAGAGTTACATTCTTTACTCATTAATCATATCTGTTTCTCAGTTCTCTGTCCACTTCTGATATGTTTAATTGGATCAAGATTAATTATGTTTTCTTTGTATCTGTTATTCCTTGTTTGGACTCCTTAAGAGACTGTAAAAATTGGATCTATGTTTTCTTTGGTATTTCTCCATGGTTTTTGCCCTACACAGTGAAAACTCAATAAATATTGATGACCATGAAAACGTTTACCATAATGATAGAACAGCATTTCACATAGATCATACCATGCTTAGAATGGCATGTGATACCATGAGGTCATTGCATAATTATGTGTTTGTTTTAGTTTTGTCAAAGCCCTCCTATTTTAAGAGCCCATATGATTATTAAATACCATCAGCTGAGTATTTTGTGCACAGAACACAATCTAAATCAATTTCATAATCCTGCAGCATTTGGTTTTGTAAATTATTCTTTTTAAAAAATATAGTTAGATATATAAGGCTTGAGCTATGTATTGAGGCTTTCCCAGAAGCAGCTCTTCTTGTGGTAAAAGATTACCTTTTTGATATGAAAGAGAATACTTAAAAGTATGTTGTTATTCCTGTCCTTATATTACTTCTCCCACAGAAACATAAATGTTGGCTTTTTGGAAATTATCCCAGGATAAAAAAGTGGGCAGTAAGTTTTAGGGATATATATTATACAGAAATAGAAAAAGAAATATGAATTTCTAAAATACATTGGTTAAATTTCACTTGGAAAATTTTGAGGAAAAAATGAGGTTATGAAATAAAATCTAGGAAGCTACCAAATTTGCAATGAGCAAAAAGTATTATATATTACTGTGAAAAGTGATCAGGACCCGAAGGTCTAGGTTCCACTTAAAATCTGCAAATGACTGATTCTGTGGTCCTGGTTTTGTCATCTTTAAGTGGCAAGCTCAGCCTGGATTACTTCTAGGTTCTTTTCAGTTATAACTGAGAATCTGCATAATTCACACTCATGTCTTTCAGATTTCCTTGCACGTCATGGAACCAACAGCTGGACTTACCACTATTCTGAAAAATCCATGAACTGGGGGAGGGCTAGAAGGTACTGCCAAGAAAATTACACAGATTTAGTTGCCATACAAAACAAGAGGGAAATTGAGTACCTGGAGAGGACACTTCCCTTCAGCCACACTTACTACTGGATAGGAATCCGGAAAGTAGGGGGAATATGGACTTGGGTGGGAAACAACAAGTCTCTTACCAAAGAAGCGGAGAACTGGGGAGATGGAGAGCCTAACAACAAGAAGTCCAAAGAGGACTGTGTGGAGATCTACATCAAGAGGACCAAAGATGCAGGAAAGTGGAATGATGACTCCTGCTACAAACAAAAGAGAGCCCTCTGTTACACAGGTAGGGAGTGGCCAAAGTGGAGAGAATGATGGGACTCATCCCAGAGGGATGATAGGGAAGAAAGTAGTTTCTAGTACATTCTAAAATAAATCCAGTCCTCTAAAAAAATAAAAATAAAATCATGTCACTTCTGTGCATTTTTGGCATGTGAGGCTGCTCCTAACACCCCAAAACCACACCTCTAAATCAATTTACATCAATATGTAAGTGTATGTGAGAAGTAAGGCAGGGAAGTAGAAGCAGAGAGATGGGTCTGGCCAGGAGCTCAGACTCACATGACCCCTACTTCCTCACTGTAAGTTAGGGGGATTTATGCTCATGTTTCCTCCTTGGCTTAATCTTACATAACTCTATAGAATGAAATATTGCCATGTTTCATTATCTGTGGAGGATGGAAACTTCTGTTTTCAGTTCCAAAACAGTCAGTGTTTTTCCAAGTCATATTTCAACAATGAAACATAGTTAATTTGATCTCTTGTAAATTGGGCTTTCTACTGATTTAACAAGTTCAGACTTAATCTTTCTCTAGTACTTTCTATAAAGGAAGGGATTGTCAAGCCTATTGCAGAAATGGTTGGGGTTGCGTCATCATTTAACCTACTTACAACATTTAAAACAAAGTATTCCAAGAGTTTCGAAGTATGTCACTAAGTTTCTCCAAAGTGTTATAGAGTATTGGCCTTGGTAAATTCATCCTATGGCTATATGGCCAGTATATTACATAAATGAAAAATTCTAGCATATGGTTTTATTGCAAAAAAAAGCTACAAATGTACAAATAAACCTTTCCTGTTCATTATAATAGTCGCAGCCAGAAAGTTTTCTATACCTGAAGAAATGATTATGAGTACTAAGAAGTAATCACGTTAAAATAATTTATTTCTCCCTTAAAGCTTCTTGTCAGCCCTGGTCATGTGGCAGCCATGGAGAATGTGTGGAAACCATCAATAATTACACCTGCAACTGTGATGTGGGCTACTACGGACCCCAGTGTCAATTTGGTAAGCCCCCTTCCTGACTTGTTTCTTCCTATATATAGTTATAGGGGTTCTTGTAACTTGTGGATGTTGACTGGGACAAAATGATACTAGCCATTCCGAGAAATGAGAAGCTTTGATCAGAAGGATAAGCTTGCACAATGTTGTTACGTTTCCTGAAAGATTTCATAAGTCAGCATGAAGTTTCAAATCACTTCTTAACACGTCTTTTTGAATTTCACAAAGAAGGCAGCTTGGTAGATTCCTGTTCTTAGGGAACTCATAATCTAGCCAACTTGTTGGATTCATTAGAAGTCTAAAGCTTGAAAGAAACATTGCCATTTATTGTTAGGAGGGTGAGTTAACCATTAGGTAATCTTGCTTTTTTTATGTAATCCTCAAAGTTATGACAGGGCAAGGCTGAAAAGAAAAGTTCACATAATGATACAAAATATAGGTCAGAGAAATATAGTAATAAATCAACACATTTATTTGGGCTAGGTATTTAGGGGGATACAAAAGCAAATCTATTATAGATTCTGCCCATAAAGGATTTGCAATTAGCTAGTGGAAATTATATATGCTCATAATTTGGTTTGATGGAAAGCAAGGCAAGCTGGAGTTTGCTGCCTAATGAAAGAATCTGGCCTTTATTTGACAATGGGAGACCACTTAGCATCTTAAGACCTGCATTTGGTGCAATATTCCTAGAAGCAATGTGTAAGATGGATTGAGGAACAAAAAGAGAAGATGGAGAGAATCAGCAGGAGTCGACTGAAATTATTCACAGTCATGATGGTAGAAACAGAAAGGAAAGACTACATAGACTCAAAGTCAAGGGGTCTTTGACCCAGTCAACTCACTAGTGAAAGAAACATCAAATCCTTTGATTGACATTGATTGAGTTTCAAAACTACGGTTGAAGTATCTGGTGCATAGGATAGAAAATTATAAGAAGAGAACAGCAATGTTTATAAAGGATAAAGAATTAAAGCTAAAATAAATTTGGGGGGGATGGGTTAGCCTGGTGATGGGTATTAAAGAGGGCACGTTCTGCGTGGAGCACTGGGTGTTATGCACAAACAATGAATCGTGGAACACTACATCCAAAACTAATGATGTAATATATGGTGATTAACATAAAAATAAAATAAAATAAAATAAATTTAAATTGGAATAGGTCTAACTCATTTCACTCAATTCCTACCCAATACTTTCACTTCACTTCTGAAGTTTATTTTTTATTATTTATTTATCCTTAATATTTTTATATTTTATTTTTTAATTCTTATATTATTGGCATGCCCATTTTACTCCCTTTTGTACATTTTATTCTTTTTTTTTTTTTTTGTCTCCGCTTCCATTTTATCATTCTTTTCTGGTCTTCTTTCTACCTATAATCATTTCTCCTTGGGTTTCTTCATGGGCACTTATCCAAGCCCATACACTATTGTTATTTCTCATTTTCTTCTATCTTTTGTCCAGGGACTCTACATGACCCTGCTTCGGTCAAACTTACCAACTTCTGTGGACTCACAGATTCATGCGAGCTTTGGACTGACAAATCTTTGTCCAGCCCTGAATAATTCCAAATATGCTAAGTATATCTTTTGCGATGCCCCAAAGATTATAAAATCAATTGTCCCAGCCAGCTTTCCTTTTTGTATTTTTATCTCAGTATGAGGCACCCCATTTACATGGGTACTCTGGTATGAAACTCTTCCACCTTCCCTTACATTTATGCAAAGTAACACACTGTTCATTTTTATACCTTACTGTTTCTCTAATTTTCCTCCTACTTGTCAATTCTGCTACTACTGCCCTCATTCCTCTTAGATTATTGCTTTAGTTTCTTAGCTGAGTTCCACCAGGTTAAATTAGCTCCCCTTAAATATACTATTCATACTATAGGCAGGCTGATTAATCAAAAACAAACAAACATCACACATATACCTACCCTTTAATTTCTAACTATCATTTGTCCTACAGGATGAAATCTGAATGCCTCAAGCTTAGAGAAATGCTTAATACATCGTAGGTACTCATTAAATAATTGAAAAAAAGATAACAGCATTTTACCTTAGCTCCTACCTTTCTTTCTAATCTCATCTCCCATCAGCTCCTGCCTCCTCTTTCCTTCTAGTAACATTAAAATGCTTGTAGTTCTCCACACTTTTCACGCATGCTTTGTATCTCATTGACTTGCTCGTGGCTTTCTCCCTCATTTTGCACATGGCTAACACACCTATTTGTCTTTAAGACATAGTTCAGGGACCAATTTTCTTCAGAAAACTTTCTTTGGACCCTAAGACAAGCTAAGTCTCCAAATTCCATGTTCCAATAGCTGCACATATTTCTCTCTTGTTTATCCCACATTTGTTGAAGTCATCCATGTACTTGTCTGTAATCCCTGGTAGACTGACAGCTGCTTGAGATCAGTATTATTTACCATTTCATATGTCAGCTTGAGACTATGCCTGGATATATTAGGCACTTATTTGCAGGCATGAGTTGAATTGGAGAACGTAAGTTAATTTGGACTTGTACTGTATATGGAAAATATAAAAATGTTCTAGTTCTTCAAGTCCATTCTTCATTGAAATCTCAAAAGTAAGGTCACAACGATGGCTCAAATTTGATAATCAGTAGGACACAAGAGTTGAAATAGTTGTTCAAATGGCATGGCAGGGCCTAAAAATGTGAAGAACGATTTCCAAGGTTCAATTTGATCTACTATGATACCACAAGTCAGAGCAGGGAAATAGTTTCTGGAGGGGACTGGAGGTAGGAGCTAGAGAGGGTGAAGACAGAATCAAGGCTGAGATGTTGCCTAAAGCTTTCCCACTCTTTTTCCACACCTCCTGCTCCCAGCACTCTAATATACCTAGGAGCTCTGATGTGACACTTATTTCCAAATTGAGCTAGTCATTCCATGTGAACCTATGCAGGTTTAAACATCCTCTCCTCAGATAATGCCAACAATAATAAAAAGACTAGCTAGTGTTTAATTAGTTCTTCCTATGAGCCAGGTTCTCTCTTTTTTTTTTATTATGTTATGTTAATCACCATACATTACATCATTAGTTTTTGAGGTAGTGTTCCATGATTCATTGTTTACGTATAACACCCAGTGCTCCATGCAGAACGTGCCCTCTTTAATACCCATCACCAGGCTAACCCATCCCCCCACTCACCTCCCCTCTAGAACCCTCAGTTTGTTTCTCAGAGTCCATAGTTTCTCATGGTTCATCTCCCCCTCCACTTTCCCCCCCTTCATTCTTCCCCTCCTGCTATCTTCTTTTTTTTTTTAATATATAATGTATTATTTGTTTCAGAGGTACAGATCTGTGATTCAACAGTCTTACACAATTCACAGCGCTCACCATAGCATATACCCTCCCCAATGTCTATCACCCAGCCACCCCATCCCTCCCACCCCCCACCACTCCAGCAACCCTCAGTTTGTTTCCTGAGATTAAGAATTCCTCATATCAGTGAGGTCATATGATACATGTATTTCTCTGATTGACTTATTTCACTCAGCATAACACCCTCTAGTTCCATCCACATTGTTGCAAATGGCAAGATTTCATTCCTTTTGATGGCTGTATAATATTCTAGTGTGTGTGTGTGTGTGTGTGTGTGTGTGTGTGTGTGTGTGTGTGTATGCCACATCTTCTTTATCCATTCATCTGTCAATGGACATCTTGAGCCAGGTTCTCTTTTAAGCCCTTGACTTACATTAGATCATTTAACTCCCATACCAACTCTAGGAAGTTAACACAGTCATCATGATTCCTGTTTCTTTTTTTTTAAAGATATTATTTATTTATTTGAGAGAGTGAGCAAGAGAGAGAGCATGAGGAGTGGGGAGAGGCAGAGGGAGAAGGAGAAGCAGACTCCCCACTGAGCAGGGAGGCCGATGCGGGATTCAATCCCAGGAACCTGGGATCATGACCTGAGCTGAAGGCAGACGCTTAACCGACTGAGCCACCCAGGCGCCCATGATTCCTCTGTCATAGATGAAGAGATTGAAGCTAGAAGGGTTAATTTACCTTGTGCCAAGGCAGAGCTAGGATTTCAACCCCGACATCAGGTCCTCTTCACACTAGCCAATGCTGTTTCTTTTCTTACTGCAGTGATTCAGTGTGAGCCTTTGGAAGCCCCTGATTTGGGGAGCATGGACTGTAGTCACCCCTTAGGGAACTTCAGCTTTATTTCCACATGCACCTTCAACTGCTCTGAGGGAACAGACCTCATTGGGATTGAGGAAACCACTTGTGGACCTTTTGGAACCTGGTCATCTCAAGAACCAACCTGTGAAAGTGAGTAACTCTTCAGACTAGAGGTTTTGTCATGGCCCGCCTTGGGTTTATGAACTGAGATAATGCAGTAGAGACTTGCTAAGAAGTCTCTGTCCTCTTTGGAACATAATTTAATCTAACTTAGATCACACTGTGATATTTTTTAAAGGGATTGTTGTTGCTCAAATCAAAAAGAAAAACCACAAACAAAAAACAACCAAATATCTCTGAAACCATCTCACAATATGTACATAATTTCAGTAATACATGATGTGATTATACCGTAATTTTTATTTTAGTTTTCTCATTGTCTTGGCAAAAATAGTCTTGCTGAACCTCAGTTAAATGTTGGTTGTTCTGTCCTCTCAATAACCCTTTTTATGTGGCATCTTACTGAACACCAACCAATTTCCTTCCCCGGGGGGTTGAGGGTTTTGGTGTTCTTCTTCTTCTTTTTTTTTTTTTAAGTGGGCTCCACACCCAGTGTACCCAACATAAGGCTTGAACTCACAACCCTGACTGAGATCAAGACATGAGCTCAGATTAAGAGTCAGACGCTTAACCACCTGAGCCACCCAGGAGCCCCAGTAGAAGGTTCTTTTGATTGTTTTATTTGGTTTATTCTTAAAATCATTTTTACTTTTCCTCCTCCGTGAACTCTTAGGGGAATAACAACTATGTGAAAAACAAACACATAGTCTCTTGATCTTTTTTTTTTTCATTTGAAATATGGTGGGTTTTTCTTTTTAACTGTCAAGAAGACTATCCCTATATGGGTGAAAACCGGTGGCATCTGAACCTGTGAAGTTTTAGTTACATTTTCTACATCTATGCATCTGACTCACTAATTTTAAGTAGTTTAATTCTCAAAAAATTATCAAAATCATATTGAATCATAAAACTAAGTTGACCAACCTGCTGAATTTTACAAAAGTTGAGTGACCTGCTTCAGAGAATTGGGGTGTTTTTCAACACTGTCAAGTGAAAAGGTGGGAATTCTCTGCATTCACTGAGCGTATTACATGAGAGCTCTTGAGGCCAAGGCCATGTAGCATGGCACACTTCCAGCAGTGCTGGAGAGTTACCAAGACTGGGGCAAGAACCTGGAGCAGCCAACTCTACCCTCTGCTCCCCTCCTATCACCTGCCAAGGACTGTCAGTGCTCCTGGCTTCCCCTCTGACTCACCATTCTCCATTATTCTCAAGAAAATAAAGCCTGGAAGCAGCATTATCAGAACTAATTTTTAGAGATTATAAATGTCTAGATTCAATCAGGTGGTTCTACAGTTGAGTCAAGCAACTTTGGCTAAAAACCTTTGGTCAAGGGAGGGTCCCTGCTCAGAAATACTGCTTTTTTCTTTTCCACTGAAGTGATTCAATGTGAGCCTTTGGAGGTCCCTGATTTGGGGAACATGGACTGTAGTCACCCCTTGGGAAACTTCAGCTTTACCTCCACATGCACCTTCGAATGCTCAGAAGAAACGGAATTAATCGGGGACAGGAAAACTATTTGTGGATCATCTGGAAACTGGTCAAGCCCTAGTCCAAAATGTCAAATTTGCCCTGATATACTGAAGATTTAAAAATGGAGTTGGTAGATGGGGATATAATGGGGAAAGATAGATTAAACTTTTAAATTTCATTTTGCTAAATGTGTATGGCCTAAAGATAAATTTGTACACATTAATTTACTGTAAAATCCTGGGCTGTTCTAGGTCTTCCTTCAATGGTAGCCATTTCTTTCTTCAGCTGATTTTCAACTCCTATCTTAACTCTTAACATCTAAAGGCACTGTCTCTGACTTATTTCTTATTCATTCTTCTATTCTACTACTATCTCACTTCTGTTAGTCCATTAAAATGTCCCGACAACGGTCACCAGTGACCACCTAATTCCCAAAATAGTGGATATTTCTCCATTATCACTAAGCTGATGCCTCTGTAATCTGTGTATGAGAAGGACTCTGTCTTCCTCATTTCCATTGACTCTCCACTCGACATGGTGCCCATGCTAAATCAGGTAAATAAATAAGTTGTCCTCTGTTTGGATCATCTGGGAACTTGAGCCTTTTTTCTATTATACATTTGGGTGTGAGAGTGGAAGCACCTTGAAAGAATTCATCAAAGTAACACCAAGAATAAGGGACACAGACCCTGTACTAATATGCAAAAGTACGTTTGTTTAATTCATGGTATCGGAACGTAGATTTTTTTCATATGGGTAGTTTTTCAACAAAAGCTCCCAAATGAACTTAGTTTACTCTTTCAAGGGATATAGGTGTATCCATCCACTTATTTGTGAAGGAAGTAGAAATATGTGGTAGGACCACATCATTTAAAAGACAGTTTAGTGTAGGTCCTTGGCATGCAAACAACAAGTGCATATATTTGCACAGCTGTTTCAAAGTAAAAGCACTAAAAGTTTCCTTTGATTGATATGTTACCTGGTTCAGATCACTGGCTTTTATTTTTCTTGAAGTCTTATTAGACATGTTAGGTCTTCTCAGTGTTGTAGTATCCCAACTATTGAACAAAGCCATGGAAATAAATACAATGAGGACCACTTTTTGCCAAGATTTTTAGGTACTTCTTCTGGGAGTTCCATGAATTGCAAATCTGGAGACTAAGAATTTATAGGCATTGGGCTAGAAAATTTGTCCTGTCTCTGCCTCTGCTGTAGGCTCATCGTGGTCTTTCCCATGCCAGTTTCATCATCTATCAAAGGGCATCAAATGGGCTATTACTGGGAGACGTGGGGAGGAACAAAGCCTAATGTCACGAGATGGCACTAAGTACATAGTGCTGTGGCCTTGTGATCTGTTTCTTTCTGATCTCTCTTTCAAAAGTGGACAGGAGTTTCTCAACGATCAAGAACGGCGACTATAACCCTGTCTTCATTCCAGTGGCAGTCATGGTTACTGCTTTTGCTGGGCTGGCATTTATTATTTGGCTGGCGAGAAGATTAAAGAAAGGTATGTGAGTTTGCCTTCATATGAACGTAATACAATTCAAAGTGGAAAAAATATAGAAACACACAGGAAATTAAATATGATCAGTTCAACTGAAGCAAAATACCAAGTTCTGTGTTCTATAGACATCATCCCTGAGGATGTGTGAGACAGCCCATGCACACTTCCATTAAAACAAGTTGACTGATTTGTGATTTTCATCTGACAAACCTTTTAAAAATGCCTACTGTCTTCAAGGCACCATGCTAGGGTGATAATAGACAAATGAAATATTTTAATGGTTCTTTGCTCTTCTTTAATTCTGAAAAAAAGGATGCATAATCTCTGTCCTCTAAGAGCCTAAATGCCTTTGATCTCAATGCTACAATTCCACTAGAAAAGGAATTTAATGTCCAATAAGGTTTTTAAGGCACTGTTCCCCAAAACCTGAGTCACATATCTGTCTGGCTTCTTACGTGTGGGAATTGCATTGTCCCTGGAAAAAAATCCTCATGTTTTCCCCCCATGTCTATTCACTGAGGTCACAGTTCTAACCAAATGCACTGCATTTGCCTCCCCTCCACTCTGGCCTGGAGAAAAGAAGGGAATGAGGGCTGTTTGAGAAGCCAATAGCTACTGCCTGGCATAATACATGGGACACCACCAGGGAAAAACAACAGCATCACTCCCCTCACCTCCCCCCTGAGTATGTCCAAACCTTAAAGCAGGACCGACTTGCTGGTTATAGGCCCACAGTCTTTGGCAGGCCCTGAGTATGCACTGCCACATTTGGCCAAACTCACCTGGCAGAAACATTTAAGACTAGGAAATTCATGGACATTAGCAGCTTTTGAGATATCGCTGCCTTAAGTTCAGAGGCCATCAGTGATCTCAAAATAACCGCTAACCCAATGTTTGGTATTGCCTTTCTATGGAGTCAGTTGATTGCCATTTTAATTTTACTTCCATCAATTAATTAGTATGTATTCTGTTCAATGAGTATGGTCTATAAAGGCTGCCTCTCACCGATCCTCACTGCCAGTTGCAGGAATATTATCTACCAATCCCCAATGGTCTTCTACTGTGATCTGATCTTTCATTCCAAATATAAGAATGATACTAGATTAGTTTTATAACCAACCCAGAAAGATGATGGAAGGGGGCACTGTTGATGTACAAGAGCTTCCTTAGTGTCAAGTGAGGGCACTGAGCAGTTCAAGCGTCTCTGCTCCTGCTCTTGGAAATTCTGCTAAGACTGGATCCCATCATCTTACAGTATGATATGAAGTACTCAAGTATTACTCTAAGGCACAGGAAGAATGAGATTTTTTTTTCTCCCGCCATTGATTATCCTTTCCATTGAGACTTCAGAGCCTGACCACAATTGTCCTTTTTTCCCTCCTACCTTGGATGATGGTGACAGAACTGAGGGGTAGAGAATGCAGTGGACCATTACACACCACCCTCTGGGAGACGGGGCTGTTCTCTAAATAACCTTTAAGGATTTGGGGGCTGGGAGTCACCTTAATAAGTAGGATATCCCCAAATTCCAAAGTCTTTTAATAACTGTTAGTAGAATCTAGAGACTAGAATGAAGTCACTTGTATTCAGTGGCAGGGTGTGGGGTGAAGGGTAGGGGTTAGCTGACGAAGGTGGCTCTCTCAGCAGGGGTGAGAAAAGCAGTGGGGTTGTTTTTAAATTTTTTTTACCTTGGAGTCATTTCTGTACAAGATCTCAAACTGATAACCTGAAAACTACATGCCCCTGCTGTGGGAATAAGTGTGGGGCAAACAGGAAACAGATAACGGGCAGTTGGGCTAGATAAATGTATGCCAACAAAAAGAACCAAAGCCCCAGAAGATCACTGACTCTGTAGGAGAGTCAGGGTATCTTTAATGTAGCATTTTAATAGCCTTCATTTGTGGAACATCTTCTTACATTTCCAATTTTCAAGTGACTTTATCTTCCAACGACTGTAGTTGTAAGTTAGTTCTTTGCAACAAGAAGAATGTTTTTCCTATAGAACGGTGTTAGGAATGATGGTTAGGTTCCCAGGCTAACCCCTCAGAGCTTTTCTAACTGTGTAGCTGACACATTTACAAGAAAAAAAAAAGTTCAAAGCCATAAATCTGCATTGTATAGTAGTTATCAACTCTGAGGAATTCATACGTGTTTTGGGTTCAGCAGGCTGGAAAAAGAGGGCAGGTGAATATTTAGGACATAGTAGCCAGCGAAATGACTAGATTCTTGACTCTGGTCCTGCCCTTGGATGGATCTTCTGAAACTGCAGTTTGACACCTGCCCTCGTTGTCTTGATATCCAGGCTTTTGCTCCATTCTTCTGGAAAAGACATAAATGCAAGCTCCAGAAATGCGTGCCAGTCTGTATGGGCTTGTGTAGAAACAATTTCCCCCCCTCAATAACCATTCTCTGATTAGTCGTTATCCTTGTCCCTGTTTGATAAATAAGGAAACTGAGGCAGGGATTTTAGGTCAAATGTCTCAAATCCCATATGAGCAGGGGCCAGAATCAGAGAGCAGACTCCCATCCATACATGCCCCTTAACACCAGTGGTCTTCAGATTAATGAAGCTCTATATTTTCTCTTGGTTGGAAGAATTCCCCACCTGAACCAACCCCACAAGGTTAGAACAAGACATGAAACTGAACACATGCCCCTTAGTTCCTTTTTCTTCAAAAAGAACTCTCTCAGTAGTAACAGATTCTTGCTCATATATTGTTATGTGTGTCGTTGTTCCTAAAAGGAAAATATATTTATATGAAGATAAACAAACAGAACCTGAAGTTAATTAAGATTTAAGTTTCTTTGCTCAAATGCAAACAGCCAATGTCATCAGCAGGCTGAATTTTGGAGGAAATGTGTAAAAGAGTAAATTCTAACATTTTAAAGGTTTAAAACAATATCTGAGCGCTGTGTATGTGGTAGGCCCTGACCTAAGTAGTTTGAATACATTTTATTTTACCAACTCAGTGAAGAATCATGCTCCTTTCACAGATGAAGGAACTGTGGCTTGAGAGGCTAAGCAGCTATTCAGAGACACACCACAGTTGATAAAACAGGATTTGCACTCAGACTGGATGATTCTAGAGCTCCAGTTTATAGCCACTGAAACACAATGCTTCCCAATGATTTTTTTTCTCAAAAAGCTTTTTTTTTTTTTTTTTTGCTTTTATTTCCTCTGGAGTCCAGCTCTGCAGTTCTTTCATTAATCTATTTATTTATACTCTTTTCTTTTTCAGAAATAATGTAAGATGGTTTATGAAATGTATTCAACACAGTAAGTTAAAATTAGTTTAAAAGTAGGTAAGGAAAGGAAGGCCAAAATTTAGGGCATAAAAAGAGTTGGAGCAAGAGGTGAAGTTAGTACACAAAAATGTGTGTCAAAGGCCTGTACACTTGATAGAAAAGGGTCTCAGCTCTGGCTCTGTTTCCCGGCAGCCAGTCAAAGAAGGGAGCATAAGTAGTTATGATATTTACTGTGTTTGTAAGATAAAAACACATCAGTTACTCAGATGAATGAATAATTCCTACCACTGAGACCCAAGTGAAATTTCTTTGTGGATTCTCACAGACAAGGTGGTGTGAGACGTAATGACACATATTCTTACAGTATTAGTAGCCAAGTCTCTTAGGGAAGAATCTGCAGGTGGGCTGAGATGGTGGACGGGAAGAGGTAAACACGTGTATAGGCATAGTGGGACTGACCATCAGGCAATTCGGGCTAGACTTCCGTCTCTATGATCAGCATAAAGGATGAGATGGAATGTAGAAGCATCTGTATCAATGAGTCTATTATGTATGAGTATATACCACTGTTTGAATTAGCACATTAAGCCAGCATCTCAAATCCCTTTACACACAGCTGGGGTCCACCAACAAATACACAATACACCTCAAAAGCCAATTTTGGGAGTAGGACTCTGCCTTCTCTCTTACAATTGGAATTGTCTACTTGCACTGATGCCATTTTTCCTATTTCTTCTATTTTTAGGTAAACAGTCCCAGAAAAGGTAAGTTTCATCAGTGAGAAGTTTCTACATCTGTTGATCTTTTCTCTACCTTCCTTGAGACACTTCCTGTTATAGCTAGACATGTTAACTCCTTAGTAACTATTTACATGAGGTCTCATTCAAATGAAGTTTCCATATAAAGTGTTAATCCACCAGCCTCCTCTAAAAGCTGTGCTTTTGGCTTTTTTGTGCGTGGGTGGTTTTGTTTTAGTGCCAGGAGATTAGAATGATTGATTGAATGAATGAATGAATGAACAAATAATGCCCTATTAAGAAAGGGCAGTTATGTGAAGGGAGCTCTTTCTGATTATCCCTGAATTTTCTATAAGGATTGGAAGCATGATGATTTATCTCTTCTTGTCCTAGAGGAATATAAGGGCAATACCAAATACAGTGTTTGGGAAACATTCAATTCATCAAGCATTTATTGAGAAACTAATAAATCCCAGGCCCTAAAAAGGTATAATTCTGGACCCCAGGCCTTCAGTGCCTAGTATAAGAATGTAAATGACTACTGCTCTGATAAGCATTGACCTTCAGAAACGTGGAAGAGGTAGGGAACATGAATTCTGCCTGTGGCTTCTGCAATGAGGCAATTTTTTTTAGCTTGGTCTTGAACCTCAGATTTTTTCAGCTGGAGAAACACAGACTGAGAAGTGATGCAGGCATATGTAAATACACGGGTGAGTGGGCAGAAGTGAACATGGCAAAACATTTCTCAGTTTCAGGGGTTCAGTGACTTGCTTAGAGATTTTGGGAAGGAGAGTATAAGTAGGAAGAACTATGAAAGTGAGACTTTGGTGACATACTGAGGGCCCAGTTAGAAAACTGAGCTCATTTTAAAATGCTGGAAGAAGCAGGATGGTCCCTGAGGATGTTGGTTGCTTGTTCAGGCAACCATGCTACCAACCACAAATTGTTATGAAGAAGTTCTTACTAGTTCAGTGAACTGTAGCTTTGAGTGCAAAAGAGAAACCATGAGATTCAACTAGAGGGAACAAACTGAGGGTTGTTGGTGGGGAGATGGGTGGGGGGGATGGGGCGGGTGATGGGCATTAAGGAGGGCACGTGATGTAATGAGCACTGGGTGTTATATGCAACTGACGAATCACTAAATTCTACCCCGAAACTGATAATATCCTATATGTTAACTAAATTGAATTTAAATGAAATATTTAAAAAAGAGAAACTGGGGAGATATAAGGCAACATAAGCCAGATCATAGAGTAATTTATAAGCCATATTAAGGAGCATGGACTTAATCCTCAGGTCTTTTTGGATAAAGCAGGTGAATGTCATGCTGAAATTTTCACCTTATGAGGATCATTCTGCAAACAGGGGAGTTGGGTGAGCCTGGAGGCAAAGAACTGATTTGGAGGCATTTGAAGTTATTAGGTTAAAGCTGATGGTGCCTGTCTAGAGAAATAGCAGTGAGGTTGAGTTCATGAGGTAAGAGGTAAAATCAAGTGAATATGGTAATTAATTCACTAAGTGAGAGAAAGAAGAATCAAAGAAGTCATCGTGGTTTTGATTGGGAACTGGTGGATGGTTACTGTCTATACTATACTATTTACTGAGAAGGGAACATAAAAGAATGAGAAGTTTTGGAGGTGAAGATCATAGGTTCAGTTTTGTCTGTGTTGAGCTTTAGGTGTCTGTGGCTCATCCACAGTTGATTGGTCCAATCTGTTGCACAGGGGCCACCTTGGGGCAGGAGAGTGGATTTGGGGATTCTCACATTCCAGGAAGTTAACTTCTCTTTTGGGAGCAGGTACAGTCATCTGGAAAGGGTGTGGAGTGGGAGAACAGAAGATGATGTGGGAGAGAGGGCAGGAACCTGGGTAAAATCCATATCAAACGGGTTGACAAGAGGCGCCTGGGTGGCTCAGATGGTTAAGCATCTGCCTTCAACTCTGGTCATGATCCCAGGGTCCTGGGATCAAGCCCCACGTTGGGCTCCTGGCTCAGCGGAGAGCCTGCTTCTCTCTCTCCTTCTGCCTCTCCCCCTGCTCATGCTCTCTCTCTGTATCCCTGTGCCTCAAATGAATAAATAAAAAAATCTTTAAACAAAACAAAACAAAAACGGGTTGACGAAGGAAAAGGAGAATGGGGAGAAGTTGCCAGAGAGGCAGAAGGAAGATGAGGAGAGTCTGGGTTATGAATGCCAAGGAAAGAAGGAAGTAGAAATTGTTTCAAGGGCTTCTGGGAGAGCCAGTAAGTTCTCACTGAATGTAACAAGGGTATGAGTGCAGAGACTGTTTTGCTTGAGGTCATGATGGAAGTCTGATAGCCAGGTATTTAAGGTTCAGTGGGGATGAGGAAGTAGAAGAAGAGCATGTAAACCATCTCTTTTTAAAAAGCTTGCCTAGGAGATGAGACAGGAACTGGATGACTGGATAAGAACATCAGGTCAGTGGAGGTTCTCATATTCTATTTTATTTTATTGCCCTGTCTTCCATTCAATACTGTAGATGGGGACCTAGACCCTTCTCTGGGCTGGGCTCCCTATCTCTGTGGGCAGGAAATCCACAAGATGTAAAGATCTCTTTCATGCTCACACCCACTGAGTGAAAGTCTTTTCTGGCACAATCCACCCAGAGCTGTTTTCTCGTCACAGAAACCACCTGTTTTTTAATTGCCACTAGATGGAAGCAGATCAATTCAATTTTTTAGGAGACCTTGGGGGACAAGAAGAGAGGCTGGCAGGAAGAGTATTAGCATTAAGTTCATTACCACACTCAGCTAATTGCCATATTAAGTTTAACGGCTCACTGATTTTTACAATGAATCAATCAATAGTTGTTTATTGCATACTTTTGTGTTGGAACAATGCTAAACTTGACTGAGACATCAAGAAGAATAAGTCCTTGACCCTGACCTCAAGGAGATTATTATCTAGCTGAGTAGTGAAGACAAAAAAATATTTTCAGAAAAATATAAGGCAGAGGATGGTAACAGACAATGAACTCTGTGTTAAAGGACTTTTTCAATACAGAAGAAGCTTGTTGATCACAGAAAATCTTATAAAGAAGGTGGACCCTGGGTTGGTTTTGAAGAATGGATGGGATTTAGGTGTATGGAGAGAAGCAGGGGAGACTACAGGGAAATGATTTAAACATGCTATGGTAGTGGGGCTGGGACAGTGTGTTCAGGGGACAGTGACTGGAACTGCCAAGAGTCCAGGGTGTAGAGGAGCTGTGAACAGAAGTTGGAAAGGAAGGCTGGCCCCATCAAGATAGGTCCTGAATGCATCACTAGATGTTCTAGAAGGACTTAGCAAAGCAGTATTTGCCCAGCTGCCTTGAGACACCTCTCATTTATTGACCAAAGTGACTTTAATTCATAGAATTATAAAATTTTAGGTCTTGAAGAGATCTTGATGGACATCATTTTCACTCTCTTTATAACTGAGCTAAAGAACTTTCCTATATGCCCTGAGCTAGTGACATAGTTAAGATCATTGTAAACATTTATGAAACATTAATTCCATGCTGCACACTGCTCCGAGTGTTTTAGGTGTCTAAAATCATTCAACGTTGCCTACAAGCCTGTGGGGGAGAAGTACTATTAATACTCTCATTTTACGTGAATGAACTGAGGTAAAGAAAAATAAAATATCTAGTCTGAGGTCACTGAATAAATGACAAAGCTGAGATTTATACCCATCTGGATCCTAAGATCATGCTTCATCCTTATGCTTCTAGAACGCAGGACTCAGTGATTGAGCTCTAAGTCCCAGACACCCTCCTCTCCCAGTGATGCAATGATTTTTCTCCCCGAAACCATTTGTGATGGCACTGAGGAAGGGTGGGATGGAAGAAGTAGAGTGTGTTTCTAGAACAAGCCAAACATAAAATGAAAACCATCACACTAAATATTGGAGCATTTTTTTAAAGCCCTGGCGCCAACCTGCATAGTCCTGTGTGCTCATCCATAAAAGGTCTTCACTGGTGAATGACCAACACCTAGGGCATTTGTGGTTTCAATTCTTGCCAGGTTATTTTCACTCTTCTGCAAATTGGTTCTGTTTACCACCTCATTTGGTTTCTAGTGTCTAAATTCTGCCTGGGTAAAGCTACACCCAAGATACACAGGAAGATACGATGCCAACCTCAGTGGAGGGTATATGTGAAATTTTGTTTTCAGAAACATTTTTATCTCTGTATTGGCAAGCACATTTGCAGCTGCTGAACTGTGGTTTACCCTGGCAGTTCATCATGAGAACAGTCTCAGAATCTGGTTCTCCCTTTGAAAGGTGCTATTAAGACATGCCATAATTGCCTCCCTCCTCCCTCCCCCCTCCCATCCCCTGCAAGAATGAGACAACTGTGTCACACATACAAAAAGGTGTCATTTATTTCATGAAACTAGATTTGTAACCATTTCCTTAAATCATGTCCCACCAGAATCAGGCATTTAGAGTTACTACCATACCTTTCATAAGTTTTGATTTTTCTCTAATTTTTCTATTTGAGCATTGTCAACTTCTACTTTTCATTGACTGCCCACTGCTCAAAATCTATCTAAAATGGCCTTCATACTCATTTGATCCTAAAACAAAGGTTGTGCCCCAGAAATGTCTCCAGGTGTGGTCCATGGACCTGCAGCATGAGCATCACCAAAGAGCTTGTGAGAAATACAGAATCTCGGGCCCCACCCAGACCTACTGAATCAGTCAGCATTTTAACACCACCTCTGGGTGGCAAGCACCTGCAAGTATGAGAAGCATTGCTTTAGGGTTTTCTTCTCATTCCTTCACCTTAGTGAATGTCCTGTGTCTTGTCCAACCTATCTGAAAGGCATTTCCTTCACTCCTTTTCTGACGTTCAGTGAATATTTACCTATACTAACACTGTTAAGTTTTACAATTTTTAATCTCCTTATTTTAATTTATATTCTCCTGTTTTTCATTCAGCAAAAATGATCCATATTAAAGCAGCCTCTGTGAAAAAAAAATTATTGGGATACTAAAGTGTCACTGGATCCTTCAAATCCCTCCCTGAAAAGTATCACATGGTGGTGTCTCCTATATTGAAGATGGAGTGCTTCTCTTTCTGTGCATCTGGAAAGATTTCTACAGGATCAGCAGCTGTTTCTGCTCCCTACGTGCCCCTCACCCACCCCTGCACCCCTGCGTACAGTTGTGCTTTATATTGCTTGTGTTTATTCTCTTTTTCATGGACCATGAGGGGAGAAGATGGCTTTGGAATATAAAGATGTCCGATTTTGCTCTCTATCTTGACTCCACTTCCAGTTCCAACTCAGTGCTGTACCTGATGACCTTCTGTACCTGATGACCTTAAATACAGTGGAAACTTGATACATGTGTTCCTACAGACTCAATTTTGTTGCAAGTCACATATTATCTCCCCTGCCCTCCAGTCACCTCTAGGGGTACATTCTTAGAGATAAATTCATAAAAGTGGTGTTATCCAACTCCAGCAAAATAATGAGGTTGGGTTCCAAACAGAGAAAGTCCTACTTGCACAGTAGCCTCACCTTCTGTAAATGGAGGCCATCCTATTTAATTGCCTCCAGCCTCCCCACCTTCTCTCTCCTCTTCCCAGTTGGCTGGCTTCCACAGGTAGCATCTCATGAGCACCAAACTAAAAGAGAGAAAAGCGAGATAGCCTGCACTGATTTTTTTTTTTTTTTTTGGTTTTCAGTGTTGCTCTTTTTATTGGACCTACCAAGATGTCTTGTATTTGATGCTTTTTTTTTAGTGGCCACTATATTGTTAATAAAAAACATCACCAGAATGCTAGCTGCAGGCAACATATCTTCGACGTCAGTTTAAACAAGAAGAAAGAGAGTCCTCCCACCCCAGACCTCTTACCCATCTACCGAGATTCTCTCTAGTCTTTAAGATCCATCTCACTCTCCCCACCCCACCTCCACTTCTTTCATAATTAGTCCTTTCATAGCTAGTCCAGACCTGTGGCCTCCTGCTGCAAGATTAGTCTACAACATGCAGTTTTGTACTTAGTTTTTTTTTAATGTTACCTCCTCTGTTATTTCAAAATTTATCATGCATATGTTTTCCCTCAGTGAAATTCTACCCTCCTTAAAGGCAGATATTGTGTCACAGCCATGGAGTGTCTCGCTCATTACTAGACACTCAGTAAATGTGGATTCATGTAACTCAGAAAGAGCATACACTGTACTGTTGATATAAGTTGCAGCAAAACCTCTCTCCATACATGTGATGACTTGAACAGATACTCATCTAATGTGGCTAACTTCTTACAACAGAATAGGGGCCTGGTAAAAACTAGAAATCCCCTTCTTGCCCCATGGCCAATACCACTTTCATACAAGAGTATACATGTTATGATAATGATTTTTTGCTAATGATTGTATTTTCTTTCCTCAAATCCATCTCAGATCCTGCTTTACAATATGAATTGTTGCAAAAAAATTCTCCATGTTCTATACTATGAATCTAGGCTACACCATTCACCTTCATGAAGCTTATGATATATCCTTTAGAGTTATACAGTGCACAACCTGCACAGACTCACACAGCAGCCCTGATTGCAAGGCCTTATTCAACTAAGACATCAGAATCAAAGAAACCACATGGTGGCTACTTCTTGGGAATAAGATGTGTATAGACTTAAAAACACAGTCCTTTGTTTGAGCCCTAAGGCTACTATGTGGTCCTAGGAAATATGTCATGCTATATTTGTTAGATAAAGACTCATTTTAGACCCAAAGACACCCCCACATTGAAAGTGAGCAGGTGGAAAACCATTTACCATGCCAATGGACACCAAAAGAAACCTGGGGTGGCAATCCTTATATCAGACAAATTAGATTTTAAACCAAAGACTGTAATAAGAGATGAGGAAGGACACTATATCCTACTTAAAGGGTCTCTCCAACAAAAAGATCTAACAGTTGTAAATATCTATGCCCCTAACATGGGAGCAGCCAATTATATAAGGCAATTAATAAAAAAAGCAAAGAAATACATTGACAACAATACAATAATAGTGGGGGACTTTAACACCCCCCTCACTGAAATGGACAGATCATCTAAGCAAAAAACCAACAAGGAAATAAAGACTTTAAATGACACACTGGACCAAATGGACCTCACAGACATATTCAGAATATTCCATCCCAAAGGAACAGAATACACATTCTTCTCTAGTGCCCATGGAACATTCTCCAGAATTGATCACATCGTAGGTCACAAATCAGGTCTCAACCAGTACCAAAATATTAGGATCATTCCCTGCATATTTTCAGACCAAAGTGCTTTGAAACTAGAACTCAATCACAAGAGGAAAGTCAGAAAGAAGTCAAATACATGGAGTCTAAAGAGCATCCTACTAAAGAATGAATGGGTCAACCAGGAAATTAAAGAAGAATTAAAAAAATTCATGGAAAGCAATGAAAATGAAAACACAACTGTTCAAAATCTTTGGGATGCTGCAAAGGCAGTCCTGAGAGGAAAGTATATAGCAATCCAAGCCTTTCTCAAGAAACAAGAAAGGTCTCAAATACACAACCTAACCCTACACCTAAAGGAGCTAGAGAATAAAGAGCAAATCAAGCCTAAACCCAGCAGGAGAAGAGAAATAATAAAGATCAGAGCAGAAATCAATGAAATAGAAACCAAAAGAACAGTAGAACAGATCAACGAAACTAGGAGCTGGTTCTTTGAAAGAATTAACAAGATTGATAAATCCCTGGCCGGACTTATCAAAAAGAAAAGAGAAATGACCCAAATCAACAAAATCATGAAAGAAAGAGATCACAACCAACACCAAAGAAATACAAAGAATTATAAGAACATATTATGAGCAACTCTATGCCAGCAAATTAGATAACCTGGAAGAAAGGGTTGCATTCCTAGAGATGTATCAACTACCAAAACTGAACCAGGAAGAAATAGAAAACCTGAACAGACCTATAACCGCTAAAGAAATTGAAGCAGTCATCAAAAATCTCCCAACAAACAAAAGCCCGGGGCCAGATGGCTTCCCAGGGGAATTCTACCAAACATTTCAAGAAGAATTAATACCTGTTCTCCTGAAACTGTTCCAAAAAATAGAAATGGAAGGAAAACTTCCAAACTCATTTTATGAGGCCACCATTACCTTGATCCCAAAACCAGACAAAGACCTCATCAAAAAGGAGAATTACAGACCAATATCCTTGATGAACATGGATGCAAAAATTCTCACCAAAATACTAGCCAATAGGACCCAACAGTACATTAAAAGGATTATTCACCACGACCAAGTGGGATTTATCCCTGGGCTGCAAGGTTGGTTCAACATCTGCAAATCAATCAACGTGATACAATATATTAACAAAAGAAAGAACAAGAATCATATGATCCTCTGAATAGATGCAGAAAAAGCATTTGACAAAGTACAGCATCCTTTCTTGATCAAAACTCTTCAGAGTATAGGGATAGAGGGTACATACCTCAATATCATAAAAGCCATCGATGAAAAACCCACAGTGAATATCATTCTCAATGGGGAAAAACTGAGAGCTTTCCCCCTAAGGTCAGGAACGCGGCAGGGATGTCCACTATCAGCTATTCAACATAGTATTAGAAGTCCTAGTCACAGCAATCAGACAACAAAAAGAAATCAAAGGCATCTAAATTGGCAAAGAAGAAGTCAAACTCTCACTGTTTGCAGATGATATGATACTTTATGTGGAAAACCCAAAAGACACCACCCCAAAACTGCTAGAACTCATACAAGAATTCAGTCAAGTGGCAGGATATAAAATCAATGCACAGAAATCAGTGGCATTCCTATACACCAACAACAAGACAGAAGAGAGACAAATCAAGGAGTTGATCCCATTTACAATTGCACCCAAAACCATAAGATACCTAGGAATAAATCTAACCAAAGAGGCCAAGGATCTGTACTCAGAAAACTATAAAATACTCATGAAAGAAATTGAGGAAGACACAAAGAAATGGGAAAACGTTCCATGCTCATGGACTGGAAGAACAAATATTGTGACGATGTCAATGCTACCTAGAGCAATCTACACATTCAATGCAATCCCCATCAAAATACCATCCACTTTTTTCAAAGAAATGGAACAAATAATCCTAAAATTTATATGGAACCAGAAAAGACCCCAAATAGCCAGAGGAATGTTGAAAAAGAAAAGCAAAGCTGGTGGCATCACAATTTCGGACTTACGGCTCTATTACAAAGCTGTCATCATCAAGATAGTATGGTACTGGCACAAAAACAGACACATAGAGCAATGGAACAGAATAGAGAGCCCAGAAATGGACCCTCAACACTATGGTCAACTAATCTTTGACAAAGCAGGAAAGAATGTCCAATGGAAAAAAGACAGTCTCTTCGACAAATGGTGTTGGGAAAATTGGACAGCCACATGCAGAATGAAACTGTACCATTTCCTTACACCACACACAAAAATAGACTCCAAATGGTTGAAAGACCTAAATGTGGGACAGGAGTCCATCAAAATCCTAAAGGAGAACACAGGCAGGAACCTCTGTGACCTCAGCCGCAGCATCTTCTTCCTAGAAACATCACCAAAGGCAAGGGAAGCAAGGGCAAAATTGAACTATTGGGACTTCATCAAGATAAAAAGCTTTTGCGCAGCAAAAGAAACAGTCAACAAAACCAAAAGACAACCGACAGAATGGGAGAAGATATTTGCAAATGACAGATCAGATAAAGGGCTAGTACCCAAAATCTATAAAGAACTTATGAAACTCAACACCCAAAGAACAAACGATCCAATCAAGAAATGGGCAGAAGACATGAACAGACATTTTTCCAAAGAAGACATCCAAATGGCCAACAGACACATGAAAAAGTGCTCAACATCACTTGGCATCAGGGAAATCCAAATCAAAACCTCAATGAGATACCACCTCACACCAGTCAGAATGGCTAAAATTAACAAGTCAGGAATTGAGAGATGTTGGCAGGAATGCGGAGAAAGGGGAATCCTCCTACACTGTTGGTGGGAACGCAAGCTGGTGCAGCCACTCTGGCAAACAGTATGGAGGTTCCTCAAAAAGTTGAAAATAGAGCTACCATACGATCCAGCAATTGCACTACTGGGTATTTACCCAAAGACACAAATGTAGGGATCCAAAGGGGTATGTACACCCCAATGTTTATAGCAGGAATGTCCACAATAGCCAAATTGTGGAAAGAGCCAAGATGTCCATCGACAGATGAATGGATAAAGAAGAGTGGTATATATATACAATGGAATATTATGCAGCCATCAAAAGGAATGAAATCTTGCCATTTACAGCAATGTGGATGAAACTGGAGGGTTTTATGCTGAGCGA